TATCACTGTAAAGGCCAGGCATGATTGAACCAATTGACATAATGGTATGATTTCGGTGGAAAAGATGCTGAGTCAATAGATATTGAATTCGCCATGTGATGTGTTAGAAAGGTACGTATTTCATTGCTTTTGATTTTATGCTTGGAAAATCTCGGAGATAAATGATTGCTGCTTACACCATTGCCTGGCTGGGAACATGTGATCTTTCATGAATACACAACTACTCTTTCTGCTAAGCGTGGGTAGTCATGTGTATTTGTCTCTGTGGGTCATGTCATATGTAATTCTTAACATTTACTTTGTTTTCAAGACTTTTTTTAACTAAAAAAATCAGCAAACAGTAAAGTAGTTTAAAGTCCTTTGACATCATATGGAACATGTTAATGATTATACATTTAAAATGAAGATCTAATTTCAGGATTATTTTAGCCATTTTGAAATAGGAACAGTAGACTATCAAGCCTACTCTGCCATTTTTTTGGATCAGGGCTGATCTGTTTTTTTGTTTTTGTTTTCTTGGAGGGACTATTATTAGGCATGTGGAATAAGGAAACTTGCCCAAGGTTTCACCCTGCCTGGAATTGAACCCAGGTGTCTCGCTTGCAAGGCGAGTGCTCTAACCACTGAGCAACAGGAGTGTATTTTCTAACAAGGTGAACCCACATCTGATTTGAGAGAGCACTGTGCAAGTAATTGGATTTGTTTAGCAGTATTATTTTATTGAACTTAACAAAATCAGATAGAGTTTGCCAAAATGTTTACACAAAATGTCAGCCCTGATCCAGAATGATACATGATCCACAAAAATGTTTTAAAAGATTTTGTGAAGAGCATCAACTGAATAGAGTATTTATGTGCTTCCCTCTTGAACGTTCGCACTGACTCTGTATTAAATCCTCTGAGGGAGCGAATTCCGCAATCTAACAACTCTGAGAAAAGAAATGAAATGGCTTGTGATTTCACTACTATTTAGCTCTAATTTTCAGATTATGATCTTTTGTTCTGGATTCTGTAACCATAGAAAAATAGTATCTCCTTATCCACTCTATTAATTCCCTTTACCATCTTTAATTTAACACCTCGACTAGATCACCTCTGAACATCTTCTGTTAAAGAGAGTGTATTCCTAGTTTTCCCATAACTTAAATGTTTGATGTTTTAGTTAGAATTCTAACAAATCTAGTCCCATTGAATGCACTTTAATATGCATCTGTTCTCTTTGGCATCTAAAGTACTGTATTATCTAATGAGGTGAAGCCACAGTACGTCTGATTTGAGAGAGCACTATGCAAATAATTGGATTTGTTTAGCAGTATTATTTTATTGGGCTTAACAAAATCAGATGGAGTTTACCAAAATAGCAGAATGATACATGATCCATAAAAATCTTTTAAAAGATTTTGTGAGGAGCATCAATTGAATAGGACTGGGAGAATGTGTTCTAGCCAAAGAGATTGCACTGACTATCTCCACAAGTATGGTCTGTCGCCTCAATGGAACTATTTCTCAAATCATATTGCTGTCCATCAGTCTCTTTTCTTTAATACAATACGTTTCCAAGTTCATTATTAAACAAATGTATCTGTTGTGACAAATAGTGGTGATAAGAAACATATCTCAACAGTTCTCCGACTGCATTTGCGGTGTTAATAGAATCAAGTTAAATTATCATGTAGAAGTAACAGTACTTCATATATGGGTAATGTTGATGAAAGCCTGATAATAAATGAATATTTTGGTACAATTGGATGTTTTAGTTCAATGAACCAAGGAAATTAAATGAGGAAACCACACTGAGCAAATTAAAATTAACATGGTCACCATTGAGAATGTCACAATGTTTTACTTACATTTTTAAACTTGAGCTTTAAATTAATATTACATCCATAGACTTCTGTTGTCCAAACTTGAAGAGGTAAACTATCATGTAAATGAAAGAAATTATGCAGAAGTGTAAAAACAAGTTGGGTCAACAAAATCCATAGAAGAGGAATCCAGAAATGAACATTGTACAAAGTTTGACCTGTGAAAAGATGTATATAAAACTGTCATTGGCCCTGATGGCTTATTGCATGAAGGCACCTTCATATAGACTAATCTCTGGGTCAAATCCCAGTTTCTGCTGCATTAACTGACAATTTCAGTTGAGGCATTACAGCCCCCTGAGTTAGGTAGAGGAAAAAGTCAGCCAGGGTTCACACACCTAATCACAAAACAATCACTACCTGCTGTAGGAGACTTTTATAGAAAGAGAAGGGGAGGATTTAGGGAGGGAATTCCAGAATATAGAGGCATAGTTGCTGAAGAAGTTGGCTTCTGCCGAGCACATGGAGGAGAGAGTGAAAAGTGAAGCTGGCTAGAAAAGTTTACAGAGATGGGGAAGGGCAAGAGAGTTAACAGACTTATAGATGAGGTCCTTGAAATCATTCCTCAGAAACAAGGATCTAGTGGTGGATGATAAACATTTGAAATTTAGTGTGGATAAGGGTGCAAGTGGCCAAATTTTGGATGAGCTGAGACGTGAGGGTGGTTGAGCTGGGGAGCCCAGTGAGGAGGGCATTGGCAAAATGAAATCTGGAGGTAACAAAGCTATGGATAAAGTTTTTGGCCACATTGGGCATGAGGTGGGGACAGAGATGGGTTGAAGATGAAGAAAAACAGTCTTGATCAAAACCAGAATTGTGGAAAGAAAGAGCTGAGAGTTGACAGAACGCTAAGGGTGTGTACTGTTTACATTTTTTAATATTTAAGGCCAGGTCAACCTGCAGTTCGTAAACTTAACAAAGGGAAAGATTTCAAAGGATCATCACATCGAACTGAGTGTCAATTAACTAACTTTAGAGGAGCTAATTATATGCAGGTTTTCTCTGATGCTTTTGCCTTGTGTATTGTGAGTTTGCCTATCCTTCAGAGGATCCAGTTCAAGATCCTGGTCCTCACCTACCACAGCCTACCTCTGCGACCTCCTAGCCCCCTATCAACCCGCCCGTTCCCTCCGCTCAGCCGACTCCGGCCTGCTCCACATCCCCCGACCCACCCGCCCCACCATTGGCGGGAGAGCCTTCAACCACTCTGCCCCAACTGGAATTCCATCCCCCAGTCACTCTGCCTCTCCCTCTCCTTAGCCTCCTTCAAATCCCGCCTCAAAACCCTCCTCTTTGACCATGCCATCGGCCACCCCCATTCCCCTCCCCTCCCTTCTCCCCCCCTGACCCCTGCTCGGGTTTGAAATGATGCACACTGGGACTCCCCTTGGGATGTCCTCCTGACGTGAAAGGCACTATACAAATGTAATCTTGTTGTTGTTGTTCACCAAGCTGGTTCTGTAAGTGTCCTGCTAGGACTGACTGTATATGCATTTTGAGGGATTGACTGAAACAGTATCAAGCACTTGGGAAGAGAACTTGTTTGCATTGAATATAATGGCAAACTTAGAGTGAGGGTTGTGCATGCTACAATTTAAAAGTCCTCCCAGCTGCTAGTCTGTTTAGCAGTATTGAATGCAGAATTGCTTTAAATGAACAATTGAAATAAAAATTCTGGAGCAACTGAATATTTAAGAACTAGAACATATGAATCATGATAATTATACCAAATTTGCATGTGGAAATTGAGTTAATTATAACCTTCACTTTGTAACTCAAATGGAAAGTTCTATCTTATGAACTTTGGAGGTGTATTCATTATGCCATTGGCGATATAAATGTTCATTATGCTAATGATATCCAAAGAGCATATGTAAATTAATTTAATTAGACCATACCCTATCAATCAGAAATTGTGTTGTGTCCTTATGAAATGTGGAGACTTCATCTGATGTGAAGTTTAACAAAATATTATTAATGTCAGAAGCCATATATATAAATCTTGGGGGTTCATTTCTTATGCTTTCAAAAATGCCTGTCCACATTTTAAAACATTTGTATTAAATGTGGTGGAGCAATGGAGCTAAATGATGCAGCAAATGATTTGCAAAAGGATTTAGATCAATTATTTAATTGGGCAGATACATGCCAAATGAAATGTAATACTGATAAGTATAAAGAATTATACATAAGTAGAATAAACATGGGGCAGAAGTATAAACTGAATGGAACTGAATTAAACCAAGTTGTGGAGAAAGGCCCATGGGATTTTTTTTGGTAAGCCTGTGGTTTATCTCTCTGCATTCCAGTCAAGGTGGATATCAAACACTGGATATATTTGCATGTAATCCAAGCTTCAGAGTTTTCTCATCAACTATTCAACACACATCTTCCTTCAGCATGGTAGGAAGACCTATACGTCTACCACCATAACGTTTTGGAAGTCCATTCATATTAGGTTTCCGCAACACCATAGAACCAATGTTATAAATGTTTGAAAAATCTGAGGTAATAGAAACAATACATTGGCATTCAAAATACAATAAAATGCCTTGATGTGGGAACTAATGACTAGAAGAATGAGATTTGATAAGATCAATAACCTTTTCCTTGGGTTTTCTTGTTTGTCATATGAGAAATGTTGACTGAACTATGAAAACGTTTTAATATTGTAATTCTTGGGGCTATAATCCAGGCTCAGTTAGAACCCACAGATGAACAGCCTACTTTCACTTTCTAAGAAAAGTCATTGTGGTCAAAGAGGTCAGCAGGAAACTAGATTTTAATCTTGCCTACATATACTGAATATGAAATGCCAATCTACATGTGAATATGGTACACAAGAAACTTGTAGTGAGAAATTCCACTTGGATCTAGACTTACTCTCATTTGAGGATTTCAGGGCATCCAGATTTGGAAAATTCTTAAAATTTGTGCCTTAATTTTGAAACTAGTTTTCTGTGAATTCTGTTAAAGACATACAGAAAATTAACTTCAAAGTTAAGACTGAATTCAACAATTTGCTAAATTCTGGACATTGTAAATACATAAATAGAGAAAATCTGGACCCATGTGGATTAGTAGATTTGCACCTTCTATAATGTTAAAAAATAAATTATTTTCTCTCCTTTTTAGAAAATGATGCAGTCTTCTATATTCCACATGTTCATCTTGAGCATGGTAGCTGTTGATGTGATTGTTGCTGCCAGTAATTACTACAAGGGAGATCATTCCAAGAGCCAGTACGACGAGTTTTATCTGGCAGAGGTGGGTATTATAAGCTGCTTAGATATTTCCATGGAGAGGAATGAGGAATTTATTCCAGCCCAAGCCAGTTTTATAAAATGCCATTCTTTATTCCCTTAAGTATTCTGATAAAGCTCTAACTGATTTGCTTGAGCTGTTTCAGCCTGACAGGGTGTAGAAGACTGTCAGGCTGCCATCCCGGAGGTGTTTTCTCATACAAAATGTCAGTGGTAATGAGCAGGTGGTAGAGTGGATCCTCCAGAGGCAGTACATGGTTGCTAGTTCACTTATTCCCATCAACCAAGTAACAGACAGCAGTAGTTACATAACCATTCCCAACAGTAAAATTAGTTTTGGGTTGATTTTTTGCAAATGTTTAATGAAACTTCCTTTTAAAACTTCTATGTATGAACATGCTTAGTAATTCCTTAGGTATAATTCTGGCATTTGTACAATTTTTTTAAAAAATGCAAGCATAAGGCATTATTGTGTAAAGTTTGGTATGTGATTTTGCAGACATAAAGAGCTCTCTTTAATAACATTGCATTATATAGCAATTACATTGCATTGCTGTGCACAATTGGCTGTTGCTTTTGTCTACACAAAAAATACACAGTCATTAGACTTCACAGTAAAATCCTGTAAAGTGCTTTGAGATGTCTCGACGATATGATAAGGCACTATATCAAATGCATGGATTATTATTATATACTGTTTCTTTCTATATTAATGTATACTGGGGGAAAATCCACTCCAGTAAATCTTATTTTATCACTACAACTATTGAAGACTCTTGGTTGAAACATCGTATGTTTATTATTTGTGCTTTCTGTGGTATTTTTTCTGCTGATTTAGTTTAAAGTCAACATCAGTTTATTGACTGAACTCAATATCACATTTGCACCACATTGTTAAATTATAACCCAAAACTCCAATTGATATTGACCAAAAAGCCACAATTGGTTTACAGTTATAATGATTTGATGATAGTATATAAATTTGAGATAAATTTATATTACTATCATCAAATCAATTTTTAAATTGTAAAACCACCATTTATTTTTATTTTTACCAATTGATAACTTAAATGATGTATTATTCCTTTGGGGTTTCCCTTATCTAATATATATAAATATAAAATATATAACCTATTAATGCAGTTAGGTATATATCTGCATTAATAAGTTATGCAATATGTGTGTATGTATGTTGAATGCATTAATTGGTGTACATGGTAATTTGCTGTTCCATTCATGGATCTATTTTCAATGCATTGTAAAAATGTGTTCAGGTTGTTTCAATTTAGTAGCTCAAGTTGTTTCATTGAGTTTGAGAATATACTGTAAAGTTAATTGACTTATGTTTTTTGGGCGAAACGTGGCAGTTAATTGCACACAGCAGTGTCCCAGAATATACTGTTTCAGTTTTAAGCGAATCTGAAATGTTGATCGTGTGATGATTATAGAGATCAATTGTCAAAACACCATTTCATATTTCAGAAAAACAAATCCCAGTTTTTCCTCGGGATAGGAAAGAGAGGTGCTAATCTTTAACCTTCAAAGTTAAACAGATTTTCTTTTTGAAACAGATGTCAAGCTGAATTTTAACCAGAATGGTTTGAAGAAGCTTCATTTTCACCCTGTACACATGCACTGTAAATATTTTTGTAACCTTTAGCTGACATTAAGTCACAGAATTTTATTGCTTTGACACAAACAGCTCAAATCTCTATGGCTGCTGAGAATACAAAATATGTTTACCTCCAATTAAAAAAAAGCTAATTTGGTCGCAGCAAAATAAGACAACAACAAATTGCATTTGTTTAGCGCCTTTCATGTCGGGAGGATGTCCCAAAGTGTTGGACAGTCAAGTGTTACCTATGTTACAAAGTTTTGTAAGTTGATTCCAGTTAGTTATATAAGTGATACAAATGATTTTGACTTAAAAATTACACATGCATGTTAGTGATCGATACCACATTATCCCTTAAACTGTTGTAGGTAATCAACACCACTGAGCCCAAACACAGGAATTGCAACCTGGATTCAGAAAGTATTCAGATAAAACAAACCATAGAGTAGTCTCTATATTCTGATGTTTTAGTTAGATGTTAAAAATCCCATTGTATCTATTTCGAAAAAATGCAAATGTTCTGGTCAATACAATTGCTCCCTCATCCAAATTTACCAAAACAGAATGTTTCTTCATCTCTGCTGCTCCAGTGTTTTCCTTCAGGTCACTATATTACAGAATGATTCAGTAGTATGAAGTACATTGAGACATTTTCATGTAGTAAGGCAATAGATCAAATAGAAGTATTTTATTGTTATTTATTATTGCTGATTAAACGGAGACCATTGCATCTTTTGTTTTAATGGACATGTCATTACCACTGAACATCTGATTTTGCAGTAGGTTGCCAACAGGGAAGACAATTCCCTATCAATGCTTTTTTTTAGGAGAAAGTATTTATGTGAATGATTATCAGTCAAGTTGTTTTAAACGCAATTGGGATTGTGCATTTCCTCACCCCCCCCCCCACCCCCCCCCCCACCCAAAAAAAAAAGCTTGGCTTTAATTAAATGCACTGGGAGTAGGTGTGTAGCCTAGCGCATTGGTAGCACTCTCACCTCTGAATCAAAAGGTTGTGGGTTCAAGCCCCCCGTCGAGACTTGGAATCACATAGTCAAAATTCCAATACAGTGCTGGAGGTATGTTGCATTGTCGAGGTGCCGTCCTTCAGATGAGACGCAAAGCCGAGGTCCCATTTGCCTATTTGGCTGGATGTTAAAGATCCCATAGCACTATTCGAAAAGAGAACAATCCCCCAAATAAAATTAGTCACTCATTCCATGGCTGTTTGTAGGGCATTGCTATGTGCAACCAGTTGCTGCGTTTCACCCACAAAATACCGAAACAGTCCACTTTACAGTATATCCTGTGACGTTCTTTGACACATCTCAACAATGTGCTGTCAAGTGCAAGGATCAATTACTGGTGAGTTGTTTGCTTTCAAATCATCTCTATTATTCAGTGTAGTGAATTACATATAAAAATCCTGGCAAAAACCTCATTGAAAATTCCTTCATTTAGCTAGTTTGTTTATTGAACATGGTATGCATGTTTCTTCACTTATGAATAAACTTAACACATTTTCTGTGGTTTTATTGTACAATTGTATCATTAAATGTTGCATAACGTTGCAGACTAAGGACAAAGAAATGTCTTGTCTCATTATGGTGTGCTGCAATTAAAACAACTTTTATCTTTCTGAATTGATCTTACTCTCATTAGAAATTGAGATAAACTTGAATGTATCAAGTAAGGTTTAAACTTTGTTTAAGAACCTTCTTCTAATGTGACTTTGTCTTGTGTTTGTAGTTTACGTATAATCGTACCGATGAAACATGAAGTGTTTAAAGAAATTACGATCAGGAAGATTAAGAGTACCAGTCTGTTGATGCCAATAGGGAAAATGATTTTATCACTTGTAAGTGTACAATTATAATTACAAGTGATTGTTCGGTGGATTTATTTGGAGGATTATTAAAGAGCTAATAATAGAAATATTTTATATATTATCAGTATATAAATGGCACTCTACAAAAAGCGAAGGGAGTTTCTCCCAATGCACTGGCCAACAATCCTCCAAATAAAATTGGTAACTCTCTTCATGGCTGTTTGTGGGCCCAATGGCTGCCAGTTTGTCCCATAAATTTACAGTAAAGTCCTGTGAAGCATCTTGAAACATTGTGATGATTTGATAACATCTCATCCAAGGATCATAACAAGCTTAGCAATGTTCTTTAAAAAATCTGTTGCCTTGAATCTTAAAATAAGTGGGATTGGGTAAACAAAAACTGTTTCTTCTTAAGCCATATTTCATCCTTACTTAATTATTGTATCCACTAAGAGATAGGCCATTTTCCCTGTCAACATTAACAGACTGCTACTCTTGATCTTCCTAATAACACTATATCCTGTATTTATCTCAATATTACTTCTGAGTACAGATAACATAGTCTTTAATCTTAAATATTTGGAGGAGTTTACCTTTAAGATAGATCCAAAGAAATTGAGTGCTGCCTGTGAGACTTCCTCGCTCCCTCTTTCTCTCACTCGTGCCGTTTTGAAAGCTTATGACAGTTCAACTGAAATTGAAGTGAAATTGCTGTGTTTCGCCCACAAATATACAGTCAATTCACTTGACAGTATAGTCTGTGAAGCGCTTTGAGGCGTCTCAAAGATGTGAAAATCACTATATCAAATGCAAGGATTACTATTATTATTTATGATAATTTGATTCAGTTCCCAGTGGGGATTTGATTGAGATTGGACTACTGATCTAATTGTGTAAATAATATTCGCGTTTTTTTGTCTGAATTTTAATTTATGTTGAACTGCAGCATTAAACATTCAGTTTAACTGGATATTTCTGAACAAGAAATACTTCATGCAATAAAAAATGTATACCTTAAGTATTAATCATGATTAATTCCCATCACACAGAGGATACAGTTCAAGATCCTGGTCCTCACCTTCAAAGCCCTCCACGGTCTTGTTCCCCCCTACCTCTCCGACCTCCTAACCCCCTACCACCCTGTTCGCTCCCTCCGCTCAGCGGGCTCCAGACTGCTTCATATTTCCCGTCTTGCTAACCCCACTATCAACAGGCGGGCCTTCTGCCACTCTACCTCCACCCTCTGGAACTCCATCCCGCAGCCCCTCCGTCTTGCCCCTCCCTCACCATGTTCAAGAATCACCTCAAGACCCTCCTCTTTGACCGTGCTTTCGATCTCCCTGCTTCCCCCCCCTGCCCTCCTTCCTCCCCGACCCTCAGCTCAGGTCTGTAACTCTGTCTGTCCAGCACCTTGGGTCATCCTCCCAACGTGAAAGGTGCCATACAAATGTAATTTTGTTGTTGTTAAAGCTTCCTACCTAAAACATCTTGTTATTTAATGCATACTTTCCTAGGTTGCTTTCACAGTTCTGTTCGATCTGGAAGCCCTTGTGAAAATCTGGTGTTTAGGATTCACTGGATACATCAGTTCATCTCTTCACAAATTTGAATCGCTCCTTGTAGTGGGGACTACTCTACACATTTATCCAGATCTCTATCATTCCCAATTTACCTATTTTCAGGTATGTGGTAAATAGATTATTGTAAAACTGAATTAAAAATATGATGTGAATGTTTAAAAGCAAAATGTTTATGCATTAAATTCCTTATAAAGTGATATGAGTGAAAAATGGAACATTATATAACAGATTCAGTGTGACTTGGTAAAGTTTGAAAACCCTATTGCCATCCAATATTCTGATATAAAAAAATTGATATGCAAGTTTCTGTCCAGTTGAAATTGTGTGTTGTGGCGTCAGCTGTAACCCCAGGGAACATTATTCATAAAAGTTGAACCTTACAGCCTCTGTTATGTATATTCTTGATGAGGATATTGTACATGCAATTTATACCCAGTGGTATCATCCTTTACTTTTTCTTACTAATTAATTTAATTTCTCAGATTGTTACAGTTTATTTTGGAGCTGCCTCACAGGTTTTATTGTCATCAGAGTTTTGAATTTTTCTATTCCCCAGTCTACATAATTCCTTCCATTCTCCCAGGAAGGTTACCCAGCCTTATAGGTTTGCATCTCTGGAATATTAAAAATTGGGATCAGCAAAATAAGTCCCAATAAATTGGTAGATGCAGGAAATTATAGTTCTTTTTAAAATATATTTTTGGTTATTTCCTGAAGCTGTTTTTCGTTTCAGATTAGCTTTATCAGTTATTGTTTGATTCAACAACAACCACAACAAAATTACATTGTAGAGTGTCTTTCACGTCGGGAGGATGTCCCAAGGCGCTGATTCATTGTTGGCGCTTGAGAAATTCTCTGATGTTTTTACCCAATTCCATGTTAACTATCCGATACACCAGTAATTTCTCATAGGAAAAGAAATAGAATCACTGGTTAGGACCTCTGATCTCCAGTAGCAGCTTCATGCCCCACATAAAACTTGAGATCATAGTCCAGGTTAATAATCCAGTGCAGTACTGGGAAAGTGCTACATTGTCAGAGGTGTTAACCTTTAGATTAGGTGTTAAACCAAGGTTCCATCTACCTGTTCAGGTGGGCATTAAAATCCCATTCTACTATTCGAAAAGAGAAGAGAGTTTCTGCCAGTGTCATGGCCAACATTCCTCTAGATAAATTGGTCATTCACTTCAAGGCTGTGTGGAGCCTCACAAGATGAAGAATTTGATAATATTCTTTCAGAATACCCACCCTATCACCCTCCCATTACAGCATCTATCTGTTTCTTAAATGAGTCCAGCATCCTGTCCTCACTACACTTGTTGGTAATTCATTCGAGTTTTTAACTACCCTCTATACAAAAAAATACTTCCTGGTGTATGTTCTGAAACTGCCGTTTATAACCCTGAACCTGTGCCCTTTTGTTTTGTTGCCTTGGGTATCTGAAACTATTGTTCTGGATTTACAGCCTCAATCCCACTTTTTTTCTTTTCAAGACTGAAGCATCCTAATTTATCTAATAATTTCTTAATAGCATATTCATCTAATAGCAGCAATCATCCTCATTGGGGGCCTCTTTACACATACTGCTTATTGGGATACCCACTTAACCCCACAAGATAAATCAAAGTTAACAGAGTATCTTCCTAACCCACTCCGATATCATTACCCTCTTGATGTAAAGTGCAGTGGGTGCAACAGAGTGACATTGGGCATCGGTGAACCAGTTAATAAATTGATATCAACAGGGCAAAAATTCCACTTACAGCTGCTCACAGTAGGGTCAGCTGACAGCAGAAATGCAAAATGACATGAAGGGATACAGAAGGACAAGAAAATTTAAATAATTGAACCTTTAACCCTTTCGCTGATGCAAATCTACGTTATAGGTGTGAACAAATAAACAGCATACAATTCTAAGCTATATTTCTGTGTCCTTGTTATTTTCATTTTATTTAAACAACATTTTAACCAGGTGGCATTTTGTAAAATAAATTAGTGCAATTCAATAAGAATTTTATTGAAGTGAAAATGTGCAATCCCTGGAACTACCAGTAAAATTACCAATACTTAGAGAACCTTTACCGTAACTAGAATGTCACACCAGGGTTAATCTGTACAATAGAATGTCGAAATGTAATAGCTTTTCTGTTTTTTATTGCCTTGTCCTGGAGGGTTTTTTTTGTTTAAATTTTTCTCCTTATCTTCTGAAGACTGACTCCTTCTAAGGTTTAATTCTATGTGTGCTCTATTCCGCTGATACCTTGCCCAAGTGGTTATTTGGTTGTATGTCAAAAAAATAGTATTGTTTTTAAATCAGTTATTGGTTCTGTTTTTAATAACATTTTTACAGGAAATAGCTTCTGTGCTTAAATATGATTAAGAATAGTTGTTGGATTGAACAGCTCCTGCACCAATCTTCCAAAGAGTGTGAGCTTAAGTGTTATTCGACCATGAATTCAATTCTGTCCTCCCTGCTGTGCACACATTGATACTCTTTTCAGCAGAATTTACTGCATAATGGATAGGATGGTCCGAGTTGGGTAAGCAGCGGGAAGCTTACCAGTCAGTGTTCAAAAAGGCAAGTTGCACAATATTAGCTGGTCAAATTTCAACAGTACCCAAACTTGCACACTCTGGAGTCAGAAAACCTTGGCTCTTGACAACCTGTAGTAATGTATCAACTTATCACAATAAAATTATATGTTTTTAGTTTGATCATAAGAAAATCAATTCAAGCCTACCATTTTCTCAATAAGCATCAAGCTGTATCTTAAATGAGTCCAGTGTCCTGGTCTAAAGCTTCCTTTCTAGTTACCCCCTGATCTAGCTGGCCATTGTCCTTTGTGCAAAGCAGTCATTTCTGATGTCTGCCCTAAATTGCTTTTTGCAACCCTAAACCTGTCACCTTTTGTCCTGCTTTGACATTCCTGAAGGTTTGAGTTTCTCATCATATTCTGATTTGCTAAAAGCACTGCTGGAAGATGAACAGACCACAAAAAACATATAACTCCAGTTGACTTGTACAGAACACCGTAACATTTCAAAGAAAATTATTCTATTTTTCGTATAATTGTATTGATTAGGAAAGGTGGGAAAGGATTAGGAAAAATTCAAAGGAAAGGTGAGATGTTACTTCACAGGTGGTTGTTGTGTAAATTAACATTGCCTAATTTCAAAGCTGTGCCATCCACCTTTATAATGAACCTAGTCAGTGACTGTAGTCCTCTGCTACAATAATACCTCAAAAGCCAGCAAGAGGAAAATATGTCCCATCACTACAAGCACAGCTTTTACCAACTGAACTCGAATGATAATAGTTTCAAAGCCCATGGGATTTGGGAGTCATGTTACATTTAAATTTATACATATATTTATTTTTATAGTTAGACAAGTGGGAATGGTATGAAAACTGATATCAGCGCCTTGGGTAGTCCTCCCGATGTGAAAGGCACTTTACAAATGTAATTTTGTTGTTGTTGTTGATGTAGAATCCTTGAAAAACACAGGGTCAGTGGGTTCATTATAAAGGTGGATGGCACAGCTTTGAAATTAGGCAATGTTTATTTACACAACAACCACCTGTGAAGTAACATCTCACCTTTACTGGGAGTTGAGGCTCCTCTTGAAACTATAGAAGCCACCTTTAGATGACCTCACCAGAGAATCAGGTGACAAACTGATCCTTGGCAATTGAGAATATTTGGTTTGTGGTAATAAATGTGAAAATAATGATATTATTTTTCTAATATAGGCATGAAAGTACAATGAACAGGAAATAGTCTCCCAGAATAGAAGATTCAGCCTCTCTGCCCCCACCCTATGGAACTCCATTCCACATTCCCTTTGCCTCGCTCCCTCCCTTGCTTCCTTTAAGGCGCATCTCAAAAGCCTCCTGTTCGACCGAGCCTTTGGCCACCATCCCTGCCCTCCACCCTTCCCGATCCCGACCCCAGCTCGGGTCCAAATCCCTAATGTCCAGCGCCTTGGGATGTCTTCCTGACGTGAAAGGCACTATACAAATGTAATTTGTATTGTTTAAAGAGTTGCTTATCTCTCTCTAACAATAGGTTTGGGGTTTACTCAGGAGTACAAATTTAGAGAAGAATAAATAAACATAAATAAAAAATATCTGCCTTCCACTTATAGAACAAGATGATTGAAAATCTTTGAAAGTTAAATAAAGAAAAATAAAAAATGCATGGGTTATTATAAATTATTCCAAAATGAGGACAGCAATAATATAATAGTAATAATGCTTGCATTTGTTTTAGCACCTTAATACATCTTTGAGACGTCACAAAGGGCTTCACAGAATATACTGTAGTGGAGTCCTGTGGCTCAGTGGTTAGAGCACTCGCTTTGCAAGCGAGAGACCTGAGTTCAATTCCAGGCAGGGCGAAACCTTGGGCAAGTTTCCTTACTCCACATGCCTAATAATAATCCCTCCAAAAACCAAAAACAATAATAAATTGGTCATTTTCAATCTACGACTGTTTGTGGGACATTGCTGTGCGCAATTGGCTGCCGCGTTTGCCCACAAATATACAGTCAATTCACTTTACAGTGTGTTCTGTGAAGCGCTTTGGGACGTCCTCCTGACGTGAAAAGCGCTATATCAAATGCAAGGATTATTATTATTATTATTAAAGTGAATTGACTATTTTGTGGGTGAAACGCAGCAGTCAATTGATAATTACTAAATTAAGAATAAGTAAGACATTGAAACGTTTGTAGGGAGAGATCTTTTAGAATATATTTTTCAACCGTATTGGATAACTGTGTGTTCAAGCACAATTCAAATTGTTTTCAAGGATAAATTAAATTGACAGTTGTTTGATTAAGTTATTGAAATAAATAATATATAATTTGGTAGGAATGGATCAAAATTAATTGGTGTCCTCGTCTTTCTTCCTATTAGGTGCTAAGGGTTGTTCGTCTGATCAAAATTTCTCCAGCTTTAGAAGACTTTGTATACAAGATATTTGGACCAGGAAAGAAGCTTGGCAGTTTGGTGATCTTCACAGCTAGCCTTTTGATCGTAATGTCCTCCATTAGTTTACAGATGTTCTGTTTTGTGGAAGAACTTGATCGGTTTACAACCTTTCCAAGGGTCAGTACTTTTAAATAGTTAAATTCCTAGATTTGATGTTGCACCTTTCATGTCAAAGTCTCAAAGTGCTTCACAGGATATATTATAAAGTGTAGTGATTTTATGTATTTTGTAGGTGAATGCAGCAGCTAATTTGTGTACAGCAATTTCTCACAAATGTTACATTAATGGTCAATGATGCTTTATGATTCTGATAGTCAGTCTGGGTCGCAGACTTCTCTGTGATGTTTGATGCTGTTACTTCATTGTTGATAACAGATGCACTTTACAGAAACAGATTTCATAGTTAGCAAAGTATAAACATTCCATCTGTCCACGATGTGACTTGCCATTCTCTGTCCTTGCCATCATGTATCAAGTGCTAAGCAAATGACTAATACCTGCAGCTGAAGCTACAGTGATAAAGTTGTGCACATTTCTTTATATTGTTTGGTAACTGATTCAGTGGGAGGGAGACTGCTACTTTCTGGTCTAATGGTGAATCACGCTTTCATGCTTTCTAGTGGTGTTAATATTGGGAATTAAATCCCTTCTATGGTAAAGTTCTGTATACATTAGATTTTCTTAACAATCCAGTGTAACAATGGGATTTTGTCCCTTGAATATCTTATAGAGCCTTGTGCATTGGCCACTGTGCATATACTTTCAAGTTCAGCTTCATAATATAACTGGTTTGGGATCCTGAAATCAAAGCTAAAATCAAGAAAAAAATGAGTGTCTATCTTTATTAGTACTATCCTGGCATTATTTACAAGCAGTTAACACAAGTCAGTAATTCTTGATCACAATGTCTCTTTAATCCAGAATTTCTTTTAATTGCATAAATTAATTGCAAGCTTATTCTGTTCATTGATTCTTGAAAGTAGGTGAGATTCCAGCAGATAGTGAAAAAGACAGATTGCATCTTTAAAATCCATCTCAGCTCTAATAAGTATCAATGAGTAGGACAAACAGATTTGAAAGGGAAAAATATGTTCACTTACTGTAATTAAACTGCTGTTTCAATTGTGCTCAACAAGCATAATGTCACAGGAATCACATGCCACATTAAATGCTTCCTATTGTTCTAAAGAAATAATGGTTACATTTCGTAGGATAATTTGTCCCATTAGAATTGTGTATCGCCAAAGGCACAACAAGTAGCACCAACCAGAATTTAAACCACTGATTTTGATCATTTAAAAGTGGGCTGACAAAAGGAGATCCAACAACAACAACAAGATTACATTTATATAGCGCCTTTCACGTCGGGAGGACGTCCCTAGGCACTGGACAGCGTACAGCATTTCAGACCTGAGCTGGGGTCAGGGGGGAGAAAGGAGGGGAGGGGAAGGGGGGTGACCAAGGGCATGGTCGAAGAGGATGGTTTTGAGGCGAGACTTGAAGGAGGCTAAGGAGGGGGTGAGGCAGAGTGATTGGGGGATGGAGTTCCAGAGGTTGGGGGCTGAGTGGCTGAAGGCTCTCCCGCCAATGGTGGGGCGGGTGGGTCGGGGGACGCAGAGCAGGCCAGAGCCGGCTGAGCGGAGGGAGCATGTGGGTTGATAGGGGGTTAGGAAGTCGCAGAGGTAGGGTGGGGTGAGGCTGTGGAGAGCTTTGTAGGTGAGAACCAGGATTTTGAACTGAATCCTCTGAATGATAGGGAGCTAATGGAGTCGGGCAAGAATGGAGGAGATGGGTTCACGGAGTTTGGTGCGGTAGAGGACACGGGCTGCAGAGTTCTGGATTATCTGCAGCCTGTGGAGGGAGGAATTGGGAAGGCCGACAAGCAGGGTGTTTGCATATTCGCGCCTGGAGGTGATGAAGGGATGAACAAGAGTTTCAGCGGCCTGAGGGGTGAGGTAGTAGTGGAGTCGGGTGATGTTACGGAGGTGAGGGAAGGCAGAGCGGGTCATGGCTTGGATGTGGGGAAGAAAAGACATTTGAGGGTCGAACAAGACACCTCGGTTCCTGACTGGTGTGGTGAGTTGTGGTGTGAAACCATGGAGGTTGATGCTGCCAGAGCCTGAGGTGCTGAGACGCTGGCGTGAGCCAATCAGGAGGGCCTCAGTCTTGTTCACATTCAACTGTAGGAAATTCGCCCTCATCCAGGACTTGATGTCCGACAGACAGTCTGTCAGGACAGCAGTGGTCCTGGAGTTGAGGGTGGAGACAGAAAGATAGAGTTGGGTGTCATCCGCATACATATGGAAGTTGACCCCATGTCTGCGGATGATGTCACCAAGGGGGAGCATGTAGATATTAAAGAGGAGAGGGCCAAGGACGGAGCCCTGGGGGATGCCACACGTGACAGTGCGGGGGCTGGAGGAGAAACTGTTAGAGGCAACAAAGTGGAGATGGTGAGAGGGATAGGAATCGAGCCAGGCAAGGGCAGAGCCGTGAAGACTGAGTAAAGCGGAGAGGCGGTGTTTGAGGATGGAGTGGTCGACAGTGTTGAAGGCGGCAGAGAGCTCAAGGAGGCAGAGGGAGCCCTGATCACAGATGTTCAGAATATCATTAGTGACTTTGACCAAGGCTGTTTCCGTGCTATGGGCAGTGCGGAAGCCAGATTGGAGGGGTTCAAAGAGGGAACAGCGAGAGAGAAAGGAGCGGAGCTGGGAAACGATGACTCATTCCATAACCTTGGAGAGGAATGGAAGGTTAGAGATGGGGTGGTAGCTGGAGAGTAGGGATGGTCCAGGGAAGGTTCTTTCAGGATGGGGGTGATGACAGCTGTTTTTTAGGTGGGTTGGAACTGAACCGGTTGACAAGGAGAGGTTGATGACGTCGGACAGGAGAGGAGCCAGCTGGTGGAGCTGGGAGATGAGGAGAGAAGTGGGGATGGGATCGAGGGAGCAGGTGGTGGGTTTGAGTTTGTGAACAATCGCGGAGAGGGAGGAGGGAGAGATAGGGTCGATGGAGTATAGGCGGGGATGGGTGGAGGGTGGGTCATGAGGGAGAGGTAATGTAGGGGTGGCTGTGGACGGGGCAGAGGTGGCTGAACGTATCCCCTCGATTTTGGTTTTGAGGAAGTCCAGCATTTCCTCACAGTTGGAGTTTGAGGAGAGGATGGGCGAGGCATGGGAAGGTGGACGGAGGAGACGGTTTGTGGTGGAAAAGAGAAGCCGGGGGTTGTCCTTTGCCTCCAAGATAACCTTGGAGTAGAAGGAGGATTTGGCGGAGGCAAGAGCGCAGCGGAAGTCTTGGTGTGGTGAAGCCAGATCTGCCAATGGACCGTTAGTTTGGAATTGGTCCAGACGCGTTCGGCAGCTCACACTTGTGTCTTGAGGGAACGGAGATCGCTGGTGTACCAGAGGGATTTATAGGAGTATGAGGCGGTGAGGGGGGCAAGGGAACAACAGTGTATTTTATTCGATTATAAGAGAAAAATACGGTACGTTTTCAAAATCAATTATACTAGTGAAGACATTCAGATTAAGAGTCTAGTTTTTTTTTAACTGACCCTTTTAGTTTTAGCCTTTTAGTGCAGCCTTTTATTTGGATCTTTTGACATGTTAAGTACGTAATGAAGAGCAAATGTTCTGTACCTTTCAACTAAAAATACTCTGCCCTAGTAAGCAAATTGTTGGGTACAATGCAGAGATTTACTTAGTCTTTCCACATCATTTTTCTTTGTGAAGGAGTCCTTTTGAAACAGGAAGCTTTCAACTGATGACTAAGAAGCAGCAGCATTTTAAGAGTGATTAAAATAAATTGCTAGGCATCACTACAACCTGCTGTGAAAAGAGCTGAATTACCTGAACATATTTCCAATTTAAAACTGACAGAAGGTTACCAGGTGTTGTAGGTAATTGCAGCATTCCTTTCCTTTTTCCCCCATACAATTCTTCATGGACATTTTGAAATTAGAGGGCAAGGATTTTAGCATGTGTGGAAAATAATAACCTCCCATTTATTTTTCTCTAGGCTTTTATGTCCATGTTCCAGATTATTACGCAGGAAGGATGGGTTGATGTCATGGATCAAACATTGATTGCAGTAGGGCACGTGTGGGCGCCGGTAGTTGCCATTTACTTTATCCTGTACCATCTGTTTGCAACTTTGGTATGTTTGGAATACTGCAAATGTTTTTTGTAGGCTTAATATTAAGTTTCTGTTTTTCCATACTATTACTGAGTATTCCATAGTGTTTTCAGCAGACTTGTTCAGTGGATCTATCTTGCATTCTGCTTCGATTAAATATATGCTACCAGGAAGCTCCAAAAAGGAGTAGTTCAACACCAAAAATATAACCACAAAAGGACATAAAAAGCAATTAGACTAGATATTAGCCCCTAAAAGATTGACTTTTAAATGCAGATTTCTTTTTTTTTAAAAATGCTGGAAATCTGGTCAAAACAGAAAATGCCTAAAATGCACATCAAGTAATTCAGCATCTGCAAGAGAACATTCAGTTTGCCAATCTGTCTTATTAAAATGTAGAATTACCTGCAGTGTTGCCAGTTTCTATGAATGACACTTTAATGTAGTTATTTTATTGTAGGTAAATTATACAATTTTTAAATGTTTTAACTGGAGTAGACCTTTATAACTCTGGCATTAAAAGCTTCTGCTGAAAGTATGTCTAACCGAAGTTGTATTAAATCTGGCTGCTAATGAACAACTTAAGCAATGGATTTGTTTCAAGTGATGGATTCAAAAGTATTTGGAGCAAACATTGGAACCAATTCCAGAGATTCAGTGCGAATATTACTATAGCAAAATCACAAGTTATTATTTTAGTATAAGAAAATCATTTAATAAGCAAATAATATTACAGATAAACTGTTAATTAATTGCTTACTGCATATAAAAACAAATATGAAATAAAATGAGAACCAGTAGTAGAATAGTGTAAGAAGTCAGTACTAACAGATTCAGATTGAATTAAGATTACCACTAAAGGTCACTCATGAAAATAAATGGCTGAATATTGGATTAGGAGTCTGCAATCATGAAAGATTCCAAGTGGAATCAAGAAGCCTAAATTCCATAAATAAGATGATGTTGTGTTAACATTTAAAAGCAGAAAGTATTGCAGAAAATTCTAAACTTCGGTCTTAATTTGAAAAACAGTTCTCTGCAGTTCTTAAAACAAATCAGAATTCAAACTAATACTGAATCTAACAATTTTTATCAACTCTATCATTCTTAAGATTTAAATTAAACTGATGCTGCATGTTAAAGTCCAGGTATTATAAAAGGAACCATACAGGAGGATTCTTGCATTTTGAAGATGTGAAATCAATATTTCTATGAGTCTTCAAATGCTTAGGTGTGCTCTGCAAAAATCATAACCGTTAAATTCAACTTTCCAATCTTGCCATTTGGAAAGTATTTGTAAATCGTTCACTTTTTAATATTTTGCTGTATATATGTTCTCAAATGTACTTTGATGTCAAAGAATTTAAATGTTCTAAAATACTTTTGTATTTTAAATGCACATTTGCAGAATTGGTATTGAGTCCAAAATATGGCCAAATTGATATGATTTATTTTTAATTTAAAATGAACCAAGTGTCCTTTATAAAATGGATGCAATTCTCCTTGCCAACAACAGACTTTCAAAATGATCCTGATATTCTTAGAAGAAGCTTTTGATAGTCATTGAGGAAGGACGTGGCTATAATGTGAAAGGCATTTTATTTGGCTAGACTTGTTGAGCAACAACATTGCTGATGGGAATCTTGGGAATAGCATCATACAAATCTTGGAAATTAACAGGTCCTCAAGCAGATTGCCAGCCAGAACACAGCAACACTGTTCAAAAGTGAAGGACCAAAATAACTATTACAATACAGGGAGTTCCAGGCTCCTTCTGCCGGCTATATTTTACTTATTGTTATTGAAAATAATAATCAATTTATTTAATCCTTAAAATAGCAGCAGTTCTAGTTAAATCCAAGCCTGTATAAGACAACCAATAGCCTGGGATTGTTCATGTTCTCTGCCTTAAAACTATTATCTTAAAATTTAAAATTGTGCAGAAATTTAGAAAATTCTTAAATTCAGTCTCAGTTTAATGTCCAGCTTTCCATACTTTTTTTGAAGATGGTTATTTTAAAGATTTCTTTATGATCTTAAGGCTAAGACGATGAGTAAATTCAGATCGCATACGATTATTGTTTCCCTTTCCACACTGACACTGAAACATATGTGAATACAGTAATAAGGACATTGGAAGACATTTTATTTTTGTAATATTATAAAAGGCACATAAAATATGAATTATTGTATTATACAAGGTGACCATGAAGTCATGAATTTATCCCATTATCTAAAGAAAGTCATGTTATTTTAAGTGTTATCATGGCTTGTTGGTCACCCTGTATATAGTTTCAAAATACAGTCCCAATATATAATTGCAGTTGGTAATCAAATAGCTTTTAAGCTTTATTTAAAATGATATTTGAAGTACTTCAATTTAAGAATCAAATGACCATGTGAAACCTTGCACTTCTGTAGTATTTGTTAATTATATTGTTCCTGAGTATTGTAGGAATCCCTTTAAACAGTCAAGATTTTTAACCACAGTGAAATATCAGGGTTGTTAATATCTTTTATTTATTCTGATAATCTGTTTTAATCACGACTGAGACTAAATACTTGCACCCTATAGGAATCCCAAAGTGAAATGTATTCTTGTTCAATTAGAGAAGTATTACGTACAAATCACAACAGGCAGAGCCCATTAAAATAATAGGCCACCAATGACCAATAAAATCCAAATTCTTCACCATGTCATCAAAATGGTATTGAACTACTAAAAGACTGTTTAAATGCACAGCTTAACAGATTTATTTAACTTAGTTTTATAGCCCCTGAAGTATGTGTTTAGGTTCTTTCGTGGGTTTGAAAAAGTGAAAGCAAATAACATTGCTGGTATTGGTGTCTGTTGAATCTAGCTATGTTTATACTGCTGCTTTACTTTCTGCTGTCATTCTAGGTAATGAAAGCAAAAATAGTAACATTTCCATTTGAGCATGATAATATATCTCTTAAGGCTTTGTGCAATGCATTAGTAATTGTGAAAAGTTTAGTTATTAAGAAAAGTGATGGTTAAACATGCAAATACAGCAGCTGATCTGCACACAAACCACAATAAGATACATCACCAAATGTAATCTTTTTCGGGGTTGAATGAGAAACATTAGCCATGAAATCCGGAAAACTGTGCTCTTTTTGAAATATTGTCGATTGATCTTTAACATTCCTTTCAACAACAACAACAACAAACTTACATTTGTATAGCGCCTTTCACGTCGAGAGGATGTCCCAAGGTGCTGGACAATCAGTGTTTCAGACCCGAGCTGGGGGTTGGGATCGGGGAGGATGGAGGGCAGGGTGTGAAGGAGGGAAGTGGAAAGCACGGTCGAAAAGGAGAGTCTTGAGACAGGTCTTGTAGGAGGCAAAGGAGGGGTGAAGTGGAAGGACTGCTTGATGGAGTTCCAGAGGGTGGGGGCAGAGTGGCTGAAGGCTCGCCCACCAATGGTGGGGCGGGCTAGGCGGGGGACATGGAGCAGGCCGGAGCCCAATGAGCAAAGGGAGCGGGCAGGTTGATTAGGAGATTGTAGAGGTAGGGGGGAGCAAGACCATGGAGGTCTTTGAAAGTGAAGACCAGGATGTTGAACTGTGTCCTCTGTGATAGGAAGCCAGCGGAGTCAGGCGAGAATGGGTGTAATGGGTCGCGGAGCCCGGTGCAGGAGAGGACACAGGCTGCGGAGTTCTGAACCAGAAAAAGAAGATAGTGCCTTATTTTAACATCACAATCCATAGGAAAGCACCCACCAATAATACATTATTGGATTATGCTACACTAGAGTGTCAATTTAGAGTTTGAGCTCAAGTACTGCTGCAGGGCTCAAATTCACAACTGATCTTGTGTATCAACAGGTGTTTCTGAATTAAGAGCAAAATATGCCCTTCGTCATGAATTTTCACAGCATTAACTCTTGTTAGGTAGCTAATTCATATAGATTGCTCTAAATTGACATGCATATTTATGACTTCTGAACAATGAGAAATTTGCCAGGTAAAGGCAAAAAGAAAATCATTTATGCTAAATCTCAGTGATGAATTATGTAGGACATTACACAATTGGACGTTACACTTTTTTATTGTTTCTAAACTGGCTTTAAACTACATCATGGTGGGCAGAATACTGTGAAAAATGCAATTTAAATCCAAAATGAAGGGGACAATTACAGCACTGTACCATTCTATGTGTATGTGGAAACACCCACTGTAGTGCATGTGTAAAGTCATTAGAATTTTATTTTCACAACCACATTCTGACCCAAATTGGACCTCATAATTCATTGGAAGCCTGTGTCATGCACCTAAATACAAAGCAACTTTGCTCCCAATCTTTTTTCCTGTTCTACTACAGTTATTTTGGTTGCAACAGTCATGATTCCCCACATGGGCAAACAGCATTGTCTATTTTCACTGCAGCAGCCTTTCCTTCTGCAGGCAAAGGGGTGCAGGAGAGGAATATTTGTTTCTGCTCCACTGCTGGAAACAAAGTAATGGAATGAGAGTTCTCTCGTTCCTATAGTTAAGAATATAAGTCTGGCCTCCTCTGGGTGGTGTAAAGGAACCACCCAATAGAAGTCAGCCTATATTTATACTGATAAAACGACAATGTCTGTCTGCCTGCCTGTCTGTCTGTGTGCACTTCAAGTAGGATCTCAATAAGCAATTGATGTAGAGACATGATTTATATCTCATCTGAAAGATCTTACATCTGGAAGTGACATGGGCCTGTTTTTTGTCGGGTATCTCCTAGCATTCATGCGTTTTGACCTAAAATGTATTTCAGTTTTGCATTTGTTTGCTGCAATTGCACCTGGTGGCCGCCCATTCAAAGTGGCACTGTGGCATCGTACAGTCACACCTGGTGGCCGCGCTAGCTGACCGTGGCGCTGTGGCATCTTGCTTTGCAGAGCGTGCACGTAGCCAAGCGGTGGCAGGAAAAAAATAAAGAACACAGACGAAGCTAAGCCACAGCAACAACAACAAAATTACATTTTTAAAGCGCCTTTCACATCGAGAGGACGTGCCAGTGAATATAAATTATACATTTATATTTATCATTATGAAGATGCCTAAGCAAAAATCAAACCTTTCAAGGATAAGCAAGTGTGTCTGTCTGTGTGGTAATCTGCATTCCATATCGGATCCTTCGAGCGTAGCTGCAATGGATACAGCTAGTAGGCAATGTGGCTTGAGATTTTATTTCTGGTCTGCGTAAATTGCTAACCTCAGCTGCGCCTCCCCATTACCGAACAAGGAGTCAGAAAAGTCTGCTAGGGGTCCTAATTGTTATCCAATACAACCACCTGCAAAATCTATGTGTGTCAATATTGAATGAGGACAGGGTCAGGTTGAATTGCTGCATAGGCTCACATAAAAATAGGGCGTTTGGCCAAAGACTGCCATAGCTCATGAAACTGGATGCAGTTCTGTATGAGTCAGTGTCTTCAGGTGGAGGGAACACTGGCAAAACAACTGCCATTTTATAAATAAGTAAAATTGTGGTTACATGACCTGATTTCTAGGTGCCAACTTTTAAGTTTCTGAATATAGTCAAACATGCAAAGTCATTAAAATTTAATTATGCAAAGCCAGTTCATACTATGAGGACAAAGTACAGTAAACCCTTGCTTGACTCGTCACTACCACTTAACTCATTATGCTGTCAATATCCTGGATGCTTCACATTGCAAAATATTAGTAAGGGATTCTGCTTTACTTGTCACCCAAGTTTACACATAACTAGTCGCGTTTTAGAAATTGTTGTAAATAGTTGCGATGTAAAATTGATTAGATAACTCATCCTAAAACATAGTGTTTTGCATCGCAGAGGTTTACTGCCCTATCCTGTATCAAGTGCATGTGGTTGGTTTAGGTTATTACATTTAGGCTTGACTTCGACAACTCCCTGTCCTAATCCCAATCCCCTGCACGGGTCCAAATCCCTGATTGTCCAGCTGCCTTGGGAAGTCCTCCCGATGTGAAAGGCGCGATACAAATGTAATGTTGTTGTTGTTGGGCGGAAGACCTCTGCGATGCAAGACACTATGTTTTAGGATGTTGTTGTTGAGCGTGCAAGCATCACAGAGGTCTCCGGTCTATTGGAGGGCTGTGCCGTGGTCGCTCACTGTGCCTCCCACCCTATCCTGTGACACGATATGGCAGGAGGCCATTTGGCACAGCTCTCAAATAGAACAAAGACCTCTGGGTAACTGGTCGCTGAGCTGTTTATTTGCCTTGGAGTGCTGAGTTATCAGGAATTTACTGATTAACAACTCTTGCTAAGTGTGGAAACAGTTATAAGTGTTGTCAGGCAGCTTTTCTACACAAACAAGTACTATATTTTTCCAAAAATATTTTTAATGAAAGATCTGAAGCTGGCCTGTGTTGGACATGACTAGGAGTGCTTTCTGATCTACAAAGGACAAGCAAAATACACAACCAAAAACATAGAATGAAATAAAGAAAATTATTTTTTCAAATTCCCATTTGATTTATTATTGGTGAATATTATGAAAAAATTTATTAGAGGATTTCATCATACTAAATAACTGGAAAAATGTAAATTAAGGATTATTATTCTGACTGAAGTGCATGATGTGCTGGTATTGGGGTAAGGTTGTTGGTACAATAACCACAAATCTATTGAGCCTTTGAAGAACAGAACAATAAGATTTTTAGAATATGTTCTACTTTTACACAACACTTGAATTTGGGATAAATGTGATGAACACGAAATGACATTTTTTTTCACAAGTTGAAGAAATGACTTGAGGATCACATCAGATAAACAAGTGAGAGTTATAGGCTACCTGATGCAGATTGCTTCTTCTTTGCATTCCCATTGTTTGTCAATGTAGAATGTGCTTACATTGACAAACAATATAGGATGTGTAAGAGCTCAGATTTCTGAGTGTGTTTATGTACTCGTATTTTTATCAGTAATTGAATAACAAATGATTATTGTGTTAATAATCATGAAAACATTGTCTAATAAGATTTAAAATTGCTAACAGATCCTTTTGAGCCTGTTCGTTGCTGTCATTTTGGACAATCTTGAGCTGGATGAAGATCTAAAGAAATTGAAACAGGTGAGCTTTTTGCTTATTTATCTGACTTCTTATTCCATTCAGCCTTATATACTGTGCATGAATGTACATTGTGTTCACATTTATTTCTGTTAGTATTACATTATATGTTGATATAATACATTTGTAGATATCTTAACAGACACAAATTACTTTTTCCATAAAATCTTCCATAAGCTTATTCTCTTCCATCTTTTCTATAATCTATTTATACTGGATTGAAAGTTTAGTTTTCTTGAGAAGAATGCAGGAGATGACTATTATGCTTCTACTTTGTCCAATTCTAAATCCCATTCTGTTTACATTATTCATGCAAAATACATTTATGAACTTTTTATTTAATATTGACTCTTGATGTTGAAACTTGAAAGCAGAGTTTAAGTATTCTATAAACTAAGTGAGTAATAATGATATCAACGTTATAGATTGGGGGAGTTATCAGATCCAGTAGTATGAGGGAGTGAAATTAATCTGCGCGATTCAGCAACAATACATGTGCAATTTCATTTTTTTAAAGAAAAATAATTTAAGTCAATTTTATGTGCAGTAAAGCAAGAGTTGATAATTACTTTTAATAATTTTTACATATACAAGTGGCATAGATTTATGTGGCAGTACTTTCTCATTTCAAATCTGCGAGCATATTGTCATCTCTCTAGATCCACTACATTCTGCCAATGTGTTTACTGAAGCTGACCACTAATAGTTCAAGGATGCTGTCAGCGTTTAAAAGGATAGCAAGAGCTTCTTGCGACAATTTTCACATTCATAAAGAATGCACAACCTTCATTGAAGATAGAACGAGTAAACATTAACCACAAGATTCAAAGTAAAATGCCACAGCTGCAAAATTACTTAGTAATTACAGTCGTTTGCATCTGTAAAACAAAGAAAAATCATCTTTGCATACAAAGTTTCTGGAAAAGTTTCAGGAAATGATGTGTCATGGATCCAAGCTTTGTGGTTAAGAGCTTTTGTGTGGTGTTCAACAACAACTTGCAATAATATAGCGCCCTACACGCGGGGTAGGGTCCCGGTGCACTTACCCAGTTTTGACAATTGCAATATAATCTTGCTGGCACCAAAAATGTTTGGAACTGCTGAGTACACTCCACAACCCTTTCTGAAGGCAGAGCTACTCTCTTTCCCCCTACAACCTCACTAATTATCCAGTGACAGAGTCATCCATACCCTGCAAAATGTAAAAAACAATAAAGAAATTGGTCACTTCAAGCCACGACTGTTTGTGGGACACTGTTATGTGCAATTGGCTGCTGCATTTCGCCCACAAAATAAACAGTCACTTCACTTTACAGTATATTCTGTGAAGTGCTTTGAGATGTCTAGAAAACGTGAAATGTATGTATCAAATGCAAGGATTATTATTATTATTACTTTGCATATATGGATTGAGTTAATTTCCCAGTGAACAATCTACATGTTGAGTTCTCTTTGTAAGAATTTTGCTGCGTCCCTTTAATTACTCATTTCCCCCAAACTTGCTGTCATTTGTAAAATTATAATGATTGATTCCCTCAGTGACAGTGCTTCACAAATCTACCCCTGTGTTTCTTTATGTACTATGAGCATACAGTTCACCCATCCCGGTGGCCCTCGCTAAATGTCAAAGTACTGGAACTCACATGAAGCACATAGCTGGCATATTATTAGTGTCTGCCCTGTTTTGGTATCCTGCTAAAACCTCCAAGAATTTCTTCTCTTTATAAATTGCATTACATGAAGATTTAAAATAGATCGGTCAGCCCATAATGAATAAAAACAGCCTATTAATTGTTGGTTATTGAATGCCATAAGCTCAGTTACTAAAGGAATTGAAGTACATTGAGTCTCATGACCGCAGTTTAATTGAAACTTTTGTGTTAATTGCTGCTATTGTGGAATCTCTAGATCAGTCATATTTAGCCTACAGTTCTTTGAATAATGGCTTCTGGATAATAAGAATGATAGGATGGAATCTGTTCCTCAATCAGGGATACCTTTATCTAACTTGAACTGTAGTATAATAAGCAATAGTCCATAAGAGCTGCATACCATCCAGAGTTAAGTGAATTGTGAGTGGCTAACGTATAGCATTGATAAAGCTAAACTTTACGAAGAATATATAAATAAACAAATCTATTTGTCAAACTATATCATTTTTCTCCTTGATTATTGCTAGCGAAGATAAATGATCTCCACCCTTTGTAGAAATTATCCAAAGTAATTTGTTTATTAAACTACTTTCTAATACTGTGCTTCTATATCATAGATTTCTTTCCAACACTCTGAGTGGCAAGTGCATTGCATTTCTTCGTAATTAGGAAGTGCTAAACAAGAGTATTATCTCTACAAAAAATATTTATTGAACTTCACTATGTAATAAATAAAAAGCAAATTTCACTATGGAAACCTTATTTGAAAATGTAAATACTTACAAAGATTTATGGTTAATGTCTGTATCTGTTAACTTATTTCTACTCTGTTTGGGGAAATGAAATAAAATTTAACAGTGGGTCCTGTTGCCATCATGAAAAGTATTTTCTTGGAGGTGCTGGTGTTATCTGAACTAGGTGTGCCATTAACCCAGAGTACGTCAGTTCTTTTTTTGATGATCTTAGTCCCACCATTTAAACAACTGTACCACAGGAAAGAGAGATTAATGCAAAAATAAAAAGCATACTTAGTTTTATCAAAATCATCAATTATTTCATATTAAAACAAATTTCCATTTCTAAAGATGGCTTTAAGACTTAACCTCATCAAAAATAATATAGAATATAGATATTAAAATTAACCTTATTTAGTTCATTATTTTATAAATGCATTCTTGTGACATTTGAGGAATATAGGGGAGCACATTTTGCATTTGAATGCAAATATAATGATTTGCTTTAATTTTAATGCCTGCAATGAAGGCAAACATTTTATAGGTACCCTCTACAGATCCTTATACTGCTCTTTAGTACAATATATGTTACTGAGTGTAATTGATGGCAACATATTTGATGTTTATAAAGCATCAGTGCAATTCATGAATCCGGTACTATACTTAAAAACATTGAATGGGAGGCCGCCATTTTGATTGAGGAAAATTCCGATTCTATTATACATTCTATTATGCATTCAGGAATGGTGCTTAGGTAGATCAGTGGACATACAGTTAGGTTTATCATTGCTATTGGTAATGGAACTCCCTTCCTCATTCCCTTCGCCTCGCCCCCTCTCTTCTTATTTTCAGGTCTCGTCTGGAGACCTTTCTTTTCGACTGCTCCTTTGGTCACCTCCCTCCCCCTCAGCTTGGCTCGACCCCGGGATCCGTTACTGTGAAGTGCTCTGAGATCCCGTCCGGCGTGGCGGGCGCTACATAAATCCAAGTTGTTGTTGTAACTAATGTTCAAGAATTTTTTTCATAGGTAGATACATTTTTTAAATTCTAACTGTAGATCTACAGGCACCCATTTGTTAAGCTATCGTTTTACTCTGCAATCTGAGATACTACCATAACCATTGACAGAGGACAGGGTTGCAAGAAAAATGTAACGTTTAATACAAAATACTAAATAGAAAAGGAGTAAAAGTATAATTGAATAGTAATGAGTGTGTGGGAGTACAAATTGAGGACAGGCAGCTTGACTGAAGCAGGGCACCTAGGACCTTGTTCTCAAATCAGCCTACCTTTTTTCTGTTCCAACCTACATAAATCTCACATGTATTTTGTTTACCAAATCTTACATTGACTAATAAATATATGAAATATATCGTTAGAAAATGACCATTGTGCATTGCTCTAAATATAAATTTATTCTTGACCAAACACGAGTTTTTAATATATATACATAACATGGTTGATACTCTACTATGATGACCATGTTGTGTAAATACTGTGAACCTAGCAAAAAAAATTCACTTATACTTCTGTATTAATTAATGAGTAATATATTACAGCATGAATGAATATAGTGAGTGTAATAGAAAGGTATCAGCAATCTTATTTCTGGACAGGAACAGAAAAGAGCAAATATTTACGATATTCATTAATCTGACATTCCAAGCTACCAGTATTCAATGCAAATGAGACTTCAAGATAAGAAAATCTTATAGAGCCAATCCGGCTGTCACTAGACACCAGATTATACAACACTTTTCACTGCGAATTCAGGGCTGCTTAGATAGAGATATGCAAGATTTCCAAATCCCAAATCTTTGGATAATCTAGGACTGTTATCGGTGTAACACAGAGTTGAAGAAGGGACAGAAGCAGGTGAAACTTTCTACCTGCTGTCAATTGATCTGCGTGTCACAGTCAGATATCTTGTACAAAAAGGGAAGTTCTTGACTGACTGCACATGTGGAGTCCTGTAGCTCCTGGTTAGAGCACTTGCCTCGCAAGCAAGAGGACCAGGGTTCGATTCTCGGCAGGGCGAAACATTGGGCAAGTTTCCTTACTCCATAATCCTCTGTTCACCTAACAATAAGTAGGAACCCAGTTGTTAGTCGATTGGTGGATTGCTTTTCCGAGGGTAATAATCCCTTCAAATAAATAAATAAATAATAATAATTTGGTCACTCAAGCCAAGATTGTTTGTGGATCACTGCTGTGCGGAATTGGCTGCCATGTTTCGCCCACAAAATATACAGGTCAGATCACTTTACAGAGCATTCTCTGAAGCACTTTGAGACATCTCAAAGACATGTTAAGCCGCTATATCAAATGCAAGGATTATTATTATTATTACTGTTACACCATCCAACAACAGGGTGAGTGATATTGATACTGCCAGTTGTTTTTTTCCCACCAGCGCTGTAGGAGTTATTTCAACACTTGAAACTACATTCTCTGGAAGAATTATTTACTTAATTGCACAGACTCAACTGCTCAACATAGTTTCTGTTCTCTGCATAAACAGAAATGTTCCAATGAATGATTTAAGAGTAACAAAGTAAACATTTAAAGATTATTTCTAAATGCATTCTTGTAGTGTACTGCCAGACCATACAGCATT